TCCATCGTGGACAGCTACGAGCGACGCAACGACGGCGCTGCGCGTGTTATCGGAACTCTGCTGGGTGAGTGGTCAGATGTTATTCTGCACATCTCATGTTAACTGTTTCATCCCTCAATCCTCCTTCCAATCCACACTGATCTTTTTGTTACCTATTTCTCTGTCGCACTTTCCGGCTGCGATTTATCTTCCCAGAGGGCTTGAACACTCCCCTCACGTGCCCGATCGATGTACTTCAAGCGACGAAAAATATAACAAGGAGTAGTTGTCATTTACTGAATAGCATCTGCCGAGTGACTTCCGTTTTTTTATGTGGTGCTGAGGATCGAACTCGGGTCCTGCCCGTGCTAGGCGAGCGCTCCACAGCCTAGCCACATCCCCGCCCCCGTTTTATTTTTTAATATTTCCAGCAGCATTTTATGGTAAGCCTCATTCTGCCAAAAATGAACTCAAAACTCCCAGTAGAAAGTAAAGTACCCTTGACTCCTTAAACCCAGTGACCATATCCCACCCCCCTCTTATCCAATGACTAAATGTCTTTGTTCTCCAGATGTTCACAAAGGTTTTTTTAACCATTTGGCAAAGGATTGGGAACAACTATAAAAAGGTTACTCTCAACAAGTAAGCTGATTTGCCTGGAACTTATTTAGGATTTTGTAGTATTTTGTTTTCCTGAACTTAGCCTGATCCTCTGTCCCTCCATCTCCCGTAATATTAGTTCTTAATACAATAAGTACTGTTCAGCCCAGTGCCCTCTCTTATTTTACAATTAGATACAGTTTTATTATCTGTTTATAAATCTGTGTTTAGCCTTCAGATTGAAGACTATATCTTACCTGCCTGTGTTATAGATTTGGGAAACAAATATTTTCTGTTAAAGTGGTTTGTAAAACTGGAAAGACTAAAGAGGGATTGCTGATAATAAATGCCTTTCTCCAGAAGCTGCTAGTCCCATTAAATTCATTTCTATTCTCAGTGACTGCTTTCAAACCCCTTTGTAAGACTGCTCTACTTGAATGCATCTTTTTTTTTTTCTTATTCTTGACTTTGTAATAGGCCTTACACTGTAGAAGACAGTTGGTATATTGCAAATAAGACGAAGATATATAGATAGATTTCACCAAACAGTAGCCATGTGCCTTAAGGCAAACTGCTTAAAGTCTAATTCTTTCAGTGGCTGCTTCAACAGAGTTTTAGTGAGAACTCCATCATTACAGAAAGCATCTAACTGTGCTGATACACATCAGTTACAGGTGGTACATATCTACCACATCAGGCCCATGCTGTCCCAAGTGCTAGGGACTGAATTAGTCCCTAGTACATACATACATTCTCTGTCTCTGACCATGTAGCACTTTATAGAAACTTAAATTGATTCATTATCTTCTAAACATTATTTTTTCTCAAATCAAACCTTTATACTCTGCCACACATGCCTTCCTTGCTCTCCCTTATTTGTTTAAATTCCATCCATCCTCAAGGTCCCTAGCAGAAATATTAACATTAATCTTCCATCCAATATACTCACCCTTACTCTATCCTTATCCTCCCACAATATGAAGATACTCTGTAAGTGCCCCATTGTAGACTTCTGCAGCAAATGATTTTTACATTACTAATATAGCATTTGACAGATACTTATCAAATTTTCCAAATTCACTGGAGCTATTTTAAAAGACAATCTTCTACCCAAAGTTTATGCTTAGTGCCCCAGTACTACAATGACACCCTAGTCAGATCAGCTAAATTTAGACCTTTAGATCCTTCTGAAAACTGAATCGTGGTACAGTGCTCTTGGTGTTAAGCATTTAAACTTTTATTAACAAAAACATTTTTAGGTCAGGGCCTGACCTAGAAAAGAAGCATAGAGTAAAAGATAGCAGAACTAAGATAGAACCCTGACAACTGGAGAAGTCCCTGGAAGAGCCAACAGAAATTTAGAAAGAGAAGGAAGAAAACTAGAGACTAGTGTCATATCCCAAAGAAAAGAAAGTATTTGTTGTTGATGATGATGAGGGGCTTTACCACTGAGCAACATCCCCAGCCCTTTTTATTTATTTATTTGGGGGGGGGGGGGGCAGTGTCTCACTAAGTTGCTTAGGTCCTTTACTTGCTGAGGCTGACCTCAAACTTGCAATCCTCCTGGCTCAGCCTCCCAAGTGGTTGGGATTACAGATATGTACCACCATACCCAGCAAAAAGAAAGTTTTAAGATGAAGTCATCAAGTTTTTGAATGCTATTGAGACATCAGATATGATATCTATTTAGAGTTTAAGCACATAGTTTGAAAAAGAGAACAAAAATCAGTAAATTGCATTAGACAAACTCTAGTACCCACTAGCAACATTGAGGTCTCTGGTGGACAGGGAAGCAAAGCACTTGAGGCCTAGGGCAGGAGGTGCCAGTAGATTAGAAGAAAGTAGAAAAGTCAAAGAACTAGTTGCTCAGTGAGGTCAAGGAATTAGTGTAGTCGGATAGATGATATCAACTAGAAAAACAAAGTTTGTGGTAAAGGCTGACATATTTAAGGTTCACGAATAGAGGGTTTCTGCATGAGTTAAATAGAGGGTTTCTGATAGAGTTAAATTGTGCTGACAGTGTGAAATGAGGCTATATTATTGGCAGTAAAATCTTCTAGGTAGCTGTGCAGATTAAATTATCGGGCAAGAGTCTACAGGCTGAAAAATGAAGGCCAAAGAATAAAGGTCTAGGAAGGGCTGATAATAGAAAGTAAAAGAAAAAAAGGAAATCTTGTGAAGGAAGAATTAATCCTGTTTGGTGATAGAGGAAGGAGTTGATGATTCCAGAGTTTTAGTTATCTGGAGAATCCTGGTTCTGTTGATGCTGAACTTGAAGCCACTGAGTTGAATTACTGTTCACTGGCTTTGAAGGACCTTCTAAAGCATTTCAACAGTAGTCAGAGACTATTGGGAGCCCTAGAATTAAATAACGCATGGAGAATTCTCTTTTTCACAGGAACTGTTGACAAGCACTCAGTGGAGGTCACCAACTGCTTTTCAGTGCCACACAATGAATCAGAAGATGAAGTGAGTAGGAATTTGAACTGCCCCTCTGCAGTATGTTGCTGTGCATTTGTCAGGCTCCCCTCAGGGACCCTCCTGCACAATTTATTGTGCTTATAACTAGAGCTCCTACAGCCTAAGAGTTTCATTCCGTTGTATGTACTTCCCTGGTCTCTTCTGTCTATTGGGGCATGAAGATCTGTACTTTTTATTCAATTTTTCTATGAACTTCTAGCTTCTTAGCTTCCTTTCCTGCCTTCCCTCTTAGGTGGCTGTTGACATGGAATTTGCTAAGAACATGTATGAATTGCACAAAAAAGTCTCTCCAAATGAACTCATCCTGGGCTGGTAAGTTGGGGAAGGGCAGGGCTGGATGGAAAGTCTCTCAGTGATTGCCAGGCTCTTCTGCCATCAGAATAAAGCTTGTCTTCCCCTTTTAGAGACAAGAGTACTAAAATTGTCTGATCTCAAGAAGCTATGAATTGACTCAGGAGGCTGAGGCAGAAGGATCACAAGTTTGAGACCAGCCTCAACAACTTAGTGAGACCCTAAGCAATTTAGCAAGACCCTGTCTCAAAATAAAAAGCACTGGAGGTGTGGCTTAGTGGTTAAACACCCCTGGGTTCAATCTCTGGTCCTTTGAGATCAAAAATATTTATTTTGAATTTCAGTTTTGATTTGTAAGTCTTGTTCCATTAAGTATAACTACCATAGGGTTATTGAATACCCAGCCCACCATTGTGTTTGATGTTGATGCCATGAATCTACAACTATGTTCTATTTTCCAGGTATGCCACAGGCCATGACATCACAGAGCACTCTGTGCTGATCCATGAGTACTACAGCCGGGAGGCCCCTAACCCTATTCATCTCACCGTGGACACAAGTCTACAGAATGGTCGAATGAGCATTAAGGCCTATGTCAGGTGACCACAGAGTCTTGGGCCATAAGGGAATAAAAGGCTATCCAGCCCTCCCTAGATGACACCCCACCCTACCTCATGCAGGTTTAATTCCTTCACTGTGTATCTCACTGCTTCTTCAGGAAGCTCATTTCTTTCTCTTGGAAAGGAATTGGAAAGATTTCATTCTGAAGCAAAAACTGTCCCCATAATTTCATCTGCTAATCCTCCTGTACTCTAGATACCCCTTCCTCTTAACCAATTTTAAATGGCAACCCTTTAGATATTTGAGCAAGTTTTCACGTTTCATGTCATCTTGTCTAGAATAGGCAGTCCTCGCTTGATATTCTTGTGATTCATGTTCATTATTCTGGGTTACTCTTTAGTTGTCATTCCTAGGACTTACTATTTATGGATTAGTGGGTGACTGTCCTTATTTTTAACACATCTATTAGCCCGGGATTGTATGCAGTTTTGGTGACAGTAACATTACAGTGTTTACACATTGAATTTTCAGGCCATTAAAATGCCAGTTGATGGGGATTGTTGGGAAAGGCTCTAGTGGCTTACTGAAGACAGGTCTGCTATGAGAGTTAGAAGAATTGTACCTTGTGGTTAGTGAATGCCTTTGTTAGTGCATCTCATTTGCTGTTTCATTTTGTGATGTTTCTTTGGTGGGCAGGAGTCTGCAGAATGGCTACATGAGCATCAAGGCCTGTCATGTGATCATTGAGTCTTGGACCATAAGGGAATAAAAAGTCTGACACTCATGTAGCCAGTTAACTGTTGGGCAATAAGACAAAGATGGTGGGTGCCAACCCCTCATATACCAACTGATGTACCATTGAGCTCTAGCCACTGCCTAAATTCTAGTCTTTCCAGATAATTCATACTCCTCAAAATCCATTTGAACATATAGAGTCAACATAGTAAGGACATCACTTTTTTTTTTTTTAAGAGAGAGGGAGAGAGAGAGAATTTTTTTTTTTTTTTAATATTTATTTTTTAGTTTTTGGCGGACACAACAACTTTGTTTGTATGTGGTGCTAAGGATCGAACCCGGGCCGCACGCATGCCAGGCGAGCGCACTACCGCTTGAGCCACATCCCCAGCCCCAAAGACATCACTTTTAATAACTTTATTTGTAGCTTCCCAGTCTCATCCTGATGGACCAGAGTCTGTTTGTTTTTTTCAGTGCTGATGAGAGGCTCCCAGAAAGACCTCTCTTGTCTCCATTTGCTGGGGGTGAGTGGGTGTCTCTGTAGCTGGCTCCACAGGGAAATTGAGAGTCCTATCCTTTCTTTGTTGACATTGCAATGTATGAAGTCATCCTCTAAAGGGACAGGCCAGTTCCAAAGGCTAAAGGTCCTTCTGGTGTATAGAATGAGCTAAGGGGAGAGATGAGTTTTGTTTCTTTGAGACCTCAGATTCAAGTGGTCCCTGCCATCTTGCCTCAGAAACTTGGAAGCAGTATTCTTGTTGTAACTGCTTTTCCACGCCAGGCTGGCTGTGGCAACCTTGCTGTCTAAACCATCTGTTTACCTTTTTCCTTCCCTTCCCTTCCCAGCACTTTAATGGGTGTCCCAGGGAGGACCATGGGAGTGATGTTCACACCTCTCACCGTGAAATATGCATATTACGATACTGAACGCATTGGAGGTGAGTAACCTTGCCATTCACTCCTTAAAGACTTAGGCCTTTTCAAGGGAGGGGGCTATTGCTCTCTAACAAGGTTGGAGGCCTTAAATGACTTGAAGAGATTGATTTAAGGTTTGTGATGGCTTGGATTTCAAGAATTTTTTGAGAAATCGTTAGAGGTGGGAAATTATCAACTAGAGACAACTTGACCATTTGTATGAGACCAAAAGCAATGATTAGCTTACTAGGTAGAGGAGCTGAGCTCCCTCCAAAGGAAAGAAAGCCAATAAGGACTGAGCAGGGAATTTGGAGAGCCAAACAAGTCCAGAAGGGGTTCAGGGAGGGTTATCAGATTAGTTAGAGACCATCTCCTTCCTAATGGCATGACTAAATTCCCTCTGTCTCTTATTGTCTACCCCTACCCAACCCACTCCCACAGTTGACCTGATCATGAAGACCTGTTTCAGCCCCAACCGAGTGATTGGACTCTCCAGTGACTTGCAACAAGTGGGAGGAGCATCAGCTCGCATCCAGGATGCCCTGAGCACAGTGTTGCAGTATGCAGAGGATGTGCTGGTAAGAGGGAAAAAGGAGAAACACCGGAGGGGACAGAGCTCCACCTTGAGATCACCGAAGGATCTGCTGATAAAATGACAGTGCCCAGTGGTGAATATTAACTATTCCTTTTTACTTTGGTGCTTAGTCTGGGAAGGTGTCAGCTGATAATACTGTGGGCCGCTTCTTGATGAGCTTGGTTAACCAAGTACCCAAAATAGTTCCTGACGACTTTGAGACCATGCTCAACAGCAACATCAATGTAAGTGCCAATCCTGGGCCTCTGGAAGCCTGCCTCTTCCTTCTACTTCAGCATAGACACAACTGTGAAAGGAGTTGGTGGGGTGGCTCAGAGTAGGATATAAGGATATAAGCTCCACCTTTGGCCACCTTGCAGACCAGGTTGGAGGGAAGGAAGGGGTAGTACACATGTTCAGAGGATCTCATCCTTCTGCTTCTTTGATTCCATTGTCTTGGGTACTGCTGATACTACTGTGACTTGTTGTAGATTTACTATAGAAAGAAATACTAAAATTCAAAGATAATGAAAATGCAGTTTCTTATTTTCCCCATTTTTGTTTATAGACCCCGCCCCCACTCCTCTCTCAGTCTTCCACTTGTGAATCTTACCTAAAGCACTGCTAGTCTGTAAGTGCATTGGTAGAGAAAGGAAAGTATCTCCAAGCATTTCCTTCCTGTCTTCCATGTTTGACTCCTGCTCAGTCACTCCCAGCTGTCATTTATCCAGGATTGTTCTCACACCCAGTGTCCACAATAGCTGGCCAGACCCGCCATTGTGCTCACTTATATTTATTCTTTGTCTTTTAGGACCTGCTGATGGTGACTTACCTGGCCAATCTCACACAGTCACAGATTGCCCTCAATGAGAAACTTGTAAACCTGTGAATGGGCCCCAAACAGAACTCCTGCCAGTCTGACTTTCTACCCTAGGACTCAGGATGAAGTGGAGGAGAAATGGTTTCTTTGTGGTCTTGAGTCACACTGAGTCAGTCAGCTGCTTGTGACTCTGAATAAACATAGCTTACCTTTTGTAATTGAGTTTCATCTGATGTGAGTTTATTGCTGGGTGGAAGGGAAGAAACTATTCTAAAGCTTACATTAAAAAGCACTGTAGGTAGAAGTTGGTTATGTTTGAATGACTCATCATCAGTAGTTGTACGCACTGCCCAAGTGCCATTTTAGCTTCTCGGCACACTAGTTTTACAGTGGCATTTTCTTATCACTCTTTTTTCTGTGGTCAGAATAGTGATGAGAGAGAATAGAATAGAAAAAGGGAAGAGACAGATTTCTAAAAATTTGAGAAATGAGCTTAGAAAAGAGAGTTGAAAGAAAATTAGATGGTAAAACAGTCCAAATGCATCAGTAGGCACAATAAATAAAAGGATTAAATTAGCCAGACGGGGGAATTTGAATAACAAAACAAACCCCCATATGCAGTTTACAGAGACATTTGAAACAAGAACACAGAAAGTTGTCCTGTGTGGTAAATAATAGTATGGATGGATCTTAATGTTGAGTAAAGAGCTAGTCTCGGAAGACAGTGCATAAAGTTCAAAAACAAGTGAAACTAAACTGTTATTTAGTAATATACATAAGGTCAGTTTTTGTTGCCTCTGAGGTTAGATTCCCTGCACAGTTCATAACATTTCCATCAACCAGTCAGTAAAACAACCTTGCTTCATGTGCATTTATGTTTTAAAGACCTCTCATTTTGAGATACACATATGCACTCTTTTGCCTCTTGCCATGTGATACTCTGTGCAGCCTGGGGACATTGTCAGCAAGAAGGCCATCACAGATTCAGCTCCTTACCTTGCACCTACAAGACCATGAGCCAAAATTCACTTGTTTTCTTTATAATGTTAAAAAAATTGACATAAACTCAGGGCCAGAAACTTGAATACTTGAATGAACCTTATCTCACATGTGTGTTTTCTCCAGAAGCCACATAACAACACTTTTGCACTAAGAATGCTAGACAACATGCTTGGAGGACATTTTAAGCAGCAAAATCAGCAGACAAAAATACAAACACATGCCAGGCCACAGTAGTGCATGTCTTTAATCCCAGTGGCTCAGGCGGCTGGGGCAAGAGGATCATGAGTTCAAAGCCAATCTAAGTAACTAGGTGGAGCCCTAAGCAACCCAGACCCTGTCTCTAAATAAAATATAAAGGGCTAGGAATGTGGCTTGATGGTTAAACATTCTGGGTTTAGACCCCAGTACCAAAAATAAATAAAGATATAAAGTAGACTGAAAAGAACACTTGTTTATGAGAGCTGAAATAGCTGATTTTCACCTGGAAAATCATGAGGCACCTCAGATTTTCTCCATTCTAAACATATTTATAAGTGAATGCAAAAGTGCTGATTAGAGCTATAAATCAATTTTAGCAAATGGTGAACTTTCAGATACAGAATCTGAACAGTGAAAATTGACTATGTAAAGTTATGCCACTTATATATGATGTATATGTGATAAAACTGAAAAGCAGAGAATGATGAAAAAATTTGCAACCAGGTGCGATGGCACACACCTATAACCCAGGGAGTTGGGAAGCTGAGGCAGGAGTACTAAGGGTTTGAAGCCAGCCTGGGCAACTTGTCAAGACCTTGTCTCAAAATGAAATTTTAAAAAAAGGATTGGGGATATAGCTTGCAAACAAAACCCTTGTATTAAAAAAATCATAGTAGTGAGTGTTCATCTTGGAGGGGAAAGAAAGCAAAAGGAGGCAGATAAGTAGTGTAAGTTATTGACAATGATCTAGTTTATTTATTTTTTGTTTTGAGGTGGTTTGTTGTTTTCTTTTGTTTAATTCAGCGGTGCTCTACCATTGAGCTACACCCCCAGTCCTTTTTAAAATTTTGTTTTGAAACAGGGTCTTGCCAGGTTAGCAAGGCTGGTCTTGAACTTGCAGTCCTCTTGCCTCAACCTCCAGAACAGCTGGGATTATGAGTATGTACTACTATGCCCAGCTATAATGATCTAGTTTGAGATTGGACAATAGGTTCATGGGTATAACTAGTCAAACAAACTAACAATGACAGTGTGGTGTATTTATCATTATTATTTAGCCTTGTTCTAGATTGATTATATTTAATCAAGAAAAACATTGATGTTAAAAATATAGTGAAAAAGAGGAGGATTTTTTTAATTATTATTGCCCAATTAATATTGTGGAAGAAAACTTGAAAATGCCAATAAGAAACATAAGAAGCAATCATTTGAAATGAAAAAAAAAAATGGAAAGGGAAGAATCATTTGAAGGCTTATCACATTATTCAATAATATCAACATTGTTTTAAACTGTGTCAGTTTTCCCTAAGTTAAATTACCTATTTTTCATAATTCCAGTAAAGTACAAAGATATCTTTTTTATTTGGGCAAGCTGTTTTTAAATGGGAAAATAAAATGCCCCTTTAATAATCCTTTCAACAAAGAAAAATTAGTCCTACCAGATAAAAAAAAAAAAATATATATATATATATATATATATATAACCAAACTACATAACTGAAGCAATATGGTACTGGTACATAAAAAGACAAACCAAATAGGCAAATAGATCCAAAATGCACATACAATGTTGATGAAAACAAAAGAAAAGGAAACTCTTGAACACTGTTGGTAAATTAGTACAATCATTATTAAAACAATATGAGTCCCTCAGAATATTAGTATGGTTACCATGCAATCCAGTAATTGCCCTACTGGTTATATGTCCAAAGAAATGGAATCAAGTGTCCATCAAGAAATGAAATGGATGAAGAAAATACAGTATATAAACCCAGTGTAATCTCACTTGTGACAGCATGGGTGAACTTAAAAGATGTGCTAAGTGAAATAAACCATGTAATACCACATGTTCTCACATGTGGAGCAAAGAACTTTGAATTCACAGAAGTAGAATAGAAGGTTGATTCCATAGGCTCAGGGAAAAGGTACATAGGGAGCTGTTTGTCAACACTCAGAGGAATAAGTTTTGGAGACCTATTGTACAGTGTGGTGACTACTTAATGTATGCTTAAAAGTTGCTAAGAGATTAGACCTTAAATCTTAAGTATGTGAGGTGATGGACATATTAAATAGTTTAATTTAATCCTTTCACAATATATACATGTTTCAAATATCACATTAGCCCCGGTGTAGTGGTACACATCTCTGGTTCCAACTACTCAGGAGGCTAAGGCAGAAAGATTGCTGGACAGCATAGAAACTGCCTCAAGAAACAAAAGTAATTATACACCATTAATATGTATCATCTTTGTCCATTTGAAAATGTATATGGGAACTTTAGAATATGATAAAGTTGCTTTTTCAAATAAGTAAAGATGGATTAGTTAAGTAAGTGGTCATTTGGAAACAATTGATTCCTGTTTTATGACTTGCACTAAAGTTATTCAAAATGGGCTAGAATGCTGTGGTTTGAATAAGGATTGTGTTGCCTTACCATGAGTCCAAGCAATGTACCAGTGGATCAGGGACTGAAACCATGAGCTAGAATAAACCTTTCCTCCTTTTTGAGTTGATTATCTCAGGTATTTTGTCACAGTGACAGAAAATAACACAATGGAATAAAAATTTTAAGTATGAAAAGAACATGTAAATATGAGGAAAAGAATAGAGGAAAATGTTTTATTTCCTACAAATTGAGAATCCCGGAGTATTTTTAAAAAGATTGGGGGGTTGGGGTTGTGGCTCAGTGGTAGAGTGCTCACCTAGTATGCTTGAGGCACTGAGTTTGATCCTCCACACCACATAAATGTAAAATAAAGATATTGTGTCCACTTAAAAAACTAAAAAATATTTTTTAAAAACCCAAAGATTGATAAAGTCAACATCTTTAAAAATCTTACTGACAAAATGCACATGTACATAAATAATCTATACAAATATAGAACTGGGGAAAATCTCACTTTTAAAAATATAAAACTACCATAAGATGACAGTTTTATTTATCAAATTGAGAAAGGGGAAACAACCCAGGCATGCCTTGCTGATGGGAGTGTAGTCTTCTCTGGAGGCCATTTTGAATTTGTATTTGACAAAATTAAAATGTACCTACCCTTAAGCCAGAAATTTCACTTCTGCTTATATATTCTACAGATAAACTGGCTTGATTGTGACATAATATATAAATAATTGTTGCAGTATTTTGTTATAATAGCATAAAAATTGTGGTCAACCCAAATGACTACTACCTGAAGATAGAGTAAAACATATATGTCCGTAAAATATAATATTATGCAGCTGTTAAGAAGGAGACAATTCTCTATGCATTAATATGTATGGTATTCAAGATGTAGTAACTGAAAAAAAAGGCAGGAGAAAATGGTATCTATAATTTATTCTTATTACATGCAGGAAAATAAATGGTAGTAATGCCTAGAATATTTGTGAAAATATATTCAGGTAACTGCTGTCAGTGGCTGTGTTGGGAGAAGGTACTGGATAAAGCACAAGGAGTGGAGAGATTTTATTTTTTATACTTGTATACCAAGTTTATCTAATACTTTTCAAAATATAAAAATGTGAAAACAATACCTTTATGCAATAAAAAGGAAACATGCTAGTGAATGATCAAATCAAATTCAGGGTATTGACTTGGGGGAGCAAAGAAGGAAGAGGAGATGGTATTGGTTTCAGCTATATCTGTAATGGCTTTTCTTTTAAAAATTGGAAAACAAGAAGTAAATATAACACAATATTATATCTTTATAAAGCTATGCAGTGGATGCATAGGTACTTGTTATATTACTTTTCATAATTTTATGCAAGCGTATTTAATAATAAATGCTTGTTTAAATATTTTAGGACCAGCATGCAAAATTCAACCTTCCCCCCTTTCCTTAGAGGCTACTCAGAACTTGGTAGACGCTGACCCTTTTCTTTTTTTACTCAAGTCTGTAACTAACCCCCTCAACTTCCCAGAGAACTTGCTAGACCATTTCCCCAATTAGAACCTCAAACTAATAGGCTTTATTTTCCTAATTATAGGATGAAGAACTGGGACCCTTACTATCTCTCAGAGCATGTAACTTGTTCAAGCCAAAGGTGACCAAAAGCAGGATCTCTTCTAGAATTGAGACTGTAAACTGCTAGAGAAGTCACTGGGGAAGGTGAAATTCACTGGAGAGGTTAAATGAGCCCCTTAGAGTAGAGCTTAAAGGGTGGCCCAGAGATACACCTGGCAGTGACAGTAGGCTAAGCAGGGCAGAGATAGGCTGTGGCCTGTCCTGGTGAAGAAAATGATAAGGGAGTGTCTGCCAAGTACAGATAGGGATAGGATGGTCTGTGAAGCACAACAAGCCAGGCAGCTTACGAGGACCCCTAAAAGTTTTGAAGAGTGCCAGAGGTTCTTGTCAGGACAGTTGCACTAGTGGCCATCTGGAAAATGGATTTTAGTGGTCTAAATAAGCAGCAAAAGTGTCTTGAATTAGCAACAAGAAGCCCTGGAAATGGAGAAACATGAAGGCAAGACGAACTTGCCACTTGCTCTGCCTGATGGTTCTTCATACCTTCCTACTCCACATTGGCTGGAAAGTGGAAGCAGTGAGCGGTGAGAACAGTTAAGGCTAAGATGGAATGTCCACAGGCTGAGGGAGAAAATGGGACGATCCTTCAATACCTATATCTAAGGTACTGCTCCAGAGTCAGCTAACTCCCCTCCCCACCCTGCCTGTCCACACTATCATGCTAATTTCCCTCTTCAGGGCTCTTCAGCAGTTTTACCCAAATCTGTAACTAACCCCCTCAACTTTCCAAAGAACTCCCTAGCCAGTCATTTCCCCAGCTAGAACCTCACACTATAATAGGCTTTATTACTCAAATCATCCTCTGACCTGAGCTACCTAAATTAATGGATCCATTCAACCACTCCCACAACCATGCCAAACATCCAGCCCTTCCAAGTCTTGTACCCCCCTCTACTCCATTTCTTACTCTCTTCTCTACAGAAGTTGTTCAGCACCAGTTAACCAGTGTCTATGAATTTGATTTGATAGTTGCTGTTATGGAGAACAATAGCTTCATAGGCATAAAAAGTATATTCCTGTACCTTCCCCAGTGGGCTCTGATTTACAGCAGATCACAAGAGTGGGAATCCTTATCCAATGGATGGGCTGACAAAGTGATCTCATAGAACTCTGACCTCATGGGCATCTTGACTGGCATGTGAGCAAGGCTCTGCTGGTGTCCCCAAAACATCAGGGCTTTGCTCCTAAGAGACCAGAAAAATCATGAAAAGCCAAAACAGAGGAATCTCTAACAAGGACCAGAAAGCTATAAACTTTGTGAAGAATGTAGTACACAGAGTTCTGTGGACCCTAAAGGGGAAGCAAGTGTAGGGTTGTACTGGATTCTTGCTCTGGTCAAGGATTGAATAAGTAAGTTGAGTGTTCCCTGCCATGAGGCAGGAGAACAGGAAACAAGGAAATGGAGAAACCATTTCCTTCCAACACCTACACAACTGCCAACAACAGCACCAACAAACCTCATTAGTCCTTCTTGGAGTATAAAGGAATCACTTCTTAACTGCAAATTTATTTGACACAGCATCTATAACATTAGGTTCTTGACATATCTAATGACGAAATTAGCATTTCTCTCACTAGCCATTATTAGCTATTCCAGTAGTGTTCAAACAGGCCCCAAGTTGTTTAGGATAGGAATCCAGTTGCTTGTAACTGCCTTGCTTCTTAATGTGTAGGAATTCATGTACACTCAGTAACACAGGGCTAACAAAATTCCATTCATCCCCTCCCCCTTTCCCCAGTGATACCTCCCAGGAGGCAGTGAATTCTGTCTCCTATGGCAATGAATTATATCTGTCTCATGATGGTGAGTCCAATCTATCTTGGTCTGTCAGTCTTAAGATGGCATTTTTAAATATCATTGGAGTATCTTAGCTCTGTACTTACCATTTTGTTCCAAGATGATAGTTACCACTTTTATCATGTTCACTCTGTTTCATGGTGTTGATCCTTCTGTCCTCTATAATGGGCTAACAGTCCTATAAGAAGCATCATTATGTGGCTGAGGTTTTCTCAGTTATTACCACTAGAGGGAACCCTTATGTCACATATAAGCCTCTGAATGCCACTTTCTTATTTTCTAGGGGCCTGAGCACTTTTTGTTGTTGTTGTTTTTAACTTTTTAAAAAAAATTTTATTTATTTATTTATTTGTTTGTTTGTTTATTTTTATGTGGTGCTAAGGATCGAACCCAGGGCCTCACACATGCTAGGCAAGTGCTCTACTGCTAAGCCACAACCCCACCCGCCTGAGCAGTTTTCTAAGGGCCTGCCTACAATAAGTACCTTTACCTTTGGAGACCCTGGAAGAGTGCAAAATGAGTGACCAAAGCTTCTGGAGATATTTCCCCTGGCCACCATTGAGCCACAGAATGATGAAGCCAAAGTATCTTCTTCTATCCCCACCCCAAAGTCACTCCAAACAAGCGTGTATTCTAATTCTAAACTTGGTTTGGAAACAGTGTTGAGTAAGTCTCCTAGGATCCACTCCCCTTCCAATCTGACTGAAACCTACAAGGCCCTCTGAAGCTGCAACTTCCCAGGAGCAATCCTGCCCAGGATCTGACTGTCAAAATGAGGTTTCTGGAGATTTCCATTCAAGAAAAGGATGGTGTGGAGTAAGTACATGGCCTTGGGGCCCTTATAAAACAACTTGGCCTTTCCAAGTGGTACTAGAGTTTGGGGCAGGTAATTGAGAACCTCTTACCAAATTCTGGTGATTGGCCAAGTGAGAGGTACAAGATAGGATCAGACCCAGCAGTCCGAGTAAAATTGTGAAATTGGGAATGCAAGAGATGGACTGAAGTAAGGTTAACTGAGAATAGAAGTCCAGGTTTAAATATAAATTTAACTGTATGGGAACACACTTAGTTTGGGTCCCCTGAAAGCAGCACATGTAACAAGAACTGGGGGCAGAGGGGCAGGGGAATAGTGTATGTGCAAGGTGATCTGCATTCAATTCTGTGGCAGCCAAAATAAGTACCACAAACTTGATGGCTTAATACAACAGAAATTTCCTTTCTCATAGTTTTGGAGACTAGAAATCTGAAATTTAAGTATTTGCAGAGCTCTATTGTCTCCAAGGCCTTCTGGAAGAAGATCCTTTCCTACCCCTTCCAGTTTCTGGTAGCTTCAGGCATTCCCTGGCCTGTAGCTGTAGAACTTGTACCTCAACCTCTATTATCACATGGTGCTCTCCTTGTGTGCCTGTGTGCAAATGTCCTTCTTGTAAGGTCTTTAGGATAGGAATAAGTCATATTGTATTAGAGCCCATCCTAATGAGCCCTTATTACTGTGATTGCATCTGCAAAGACGCTATTTCCAAATTAGGTCACATTCACAGGCATCAGGGGTTAGGATTTCAACATATCTTTTGGGGAGACACAATTGATCTAAGAAGCAAAAGTGAATGGAGACAAGGGCAAGAGAAACCTAATGCAACTTAAAATATTAAGCTGTTATCTCTGCTGCAACAGGGACTCAGTTCCACTGAGGAACCTCCAAGGAGCCATGTGAAATACCCTTCAGAATTCTCCCACTGAAGTCCTGGAAGGCATTTAGCCAGTCCCTCGCTGGTTGAAGATTTCTGAAGAATGTTAACTTTCTCAGACAGGCTGCATCTGCAGGTGGGCTGGATCCTTACCTAGCTAATTAAGGGAGCCTGCTATGGGATGTGAGCAATGTGCATGGACTATCCTTCACCACTGCTGCACTTAGGTCAGAAAGGGATCACAAGTGTCTGCAAAGTACACCCCTCACATTGCTCAGGTCTATAAATGCCCCCCAGTAAATCTAATCTCTCACCGACTCTTAAAGGCTCTGGTCAGCTGCAAGCTCTTGAAAAAAAATTTCAACAGAAATAAACTGTAGTCTCCTGGAGCAACTAGTCTTCAGTCACAATACTCATCAGCTTTCTTTCCCTCCACCTATTCTAGATTTCTCTCAGTCCTGGTCAACACTAAAGCTGGTCTGGATTGCTCATCCTGATAGTCTGAGTTCTTGTTTAGCCATTGTCATGCTTTGTTGACAGTGATTTCATATTCACTGTTATCACCAGACCTGAAAGGACCAAGAGATGGTCCAGCACCAGTTTCAGAATAATCCTCCCTAGCCCATTATGCAATAACATCCTTAGCTCTAGACAACCGGGATTAATTGCCCTCTTCGATATGGTAACTCTTTTTTTACCTAATAGTCCATTGACATTGGGAGCCCAACCAAAGTGTCCCAGCAGGAGATTCAGCTTCCTAAGCAAACCAGTGTAAGACTGTGTACTGGGAACCAAGGTTTTTAATCCAGCAGAATCAGTTACAGAAATGGGAAGCACAATTTCTGCAAGGAGCTGGCTGAAGTGACAATGAAAACACACAATCCTACTTCCATCCCTTGGTTACTCTGGCCCTGTATATTCTAGGGAGGAACACAGCACTATATGTTGTCTGATCATTTAATGCATACATTTCATCCCAGAGTCCGGAGACCAGTCATCTACTGTGTCATCTCAAAGCTGGTTCCTCAGCTGAGCTTTAATCAGCCATTCCCAATTTCTACCTTTTGCTTCCAGGTGATGCAGGATATGGGAAGACCCGTTGTTTTAGAAGACCATTGTCACAACCCATTAACCATAAAATAGGCTCCTGAGCTAAGACTTTATTATGCAGATCTATTAACCATTGGGGAGGCATTCTGAACTTGGAAAGTGGAAGATAAACCTATATTAAGAAAAAGTTTCAGTAAAGATAAATTTCTTCCCTCTCCATTGTGAAAGGATTCTGATGTAATTAACTTACTACCAAGTGTGAAAGCAGTCTTTGCACAGAATGGCACCATAAAGAGGATGAGCAGGCACACTCTGCTCCTGTAGGCTGAGCATTCAGCAGCAGCAGCAGGTAGGTCAGCCCTGGTGAGAAGAGTTCTGTTGTTGGGCCCAGGTAAAGTTTTATTCCTGCCACATTCCCACTTCACTTGTGAGTCCAAATATTTAGTTGGTTAAGAACAGAAACTGACTGAGATCTACTAGATAAGTCATTGCATATACCCTGTCACTAAGTGCCTCCTCCACAGCAGATGCTTTCTGATGGGCATTGACATGAGACACAAAGATCTACACAATCTGATACCATTCCTACTAGTTCATCCATATGTCTCCTCCCCAGACTTCTTTATCCAATATTTCAATCTTTATGCAGGCCTCTGACCAACCAATCAGGTATATGAGTATTCTGACCTCAGATCATGCCTCCCTTCCTACAAAGTTGACAGCCAAGGGTACTACCTATGTGGAAGATGTTTCTCACCACTTACCTTAAGGTTTTGTCTCATCAGAGCCAATTGTAGTTGGGTATGGAGTATAGTTGCAATTCATTTTTTATTCATATCACTGTATCAAGACAACCCATCCATATGCTATGTCCAAATATTTTTCTTCCTACAGCAATGGTGGTAGAGAACTCTGCTACATGCATGAAGTCATAAATATCAGCTGAGGAAATAGGTTGGTGTGACAGGGGTATACATCATGGAGCCTCAATCGCCTCTACATGAAATTTACTCGTGCCCTCTGTACCTGTTTGGATCCAGTTCTAAATGTACCACTGTCATTTTACAATGAATTGCTAGCTTGTAACTGATGAAGTGGTAAACATAAATCACCCAGTTATGGCAGGGTAAATGTTCAACTGGTGTCCCAGATTACAATGAGTAATTTTAGTACTATAGTGTCTTGATGTACCACTGGCAGGTACCCACACTCCACTGGGGCCCAGTGTCTCATTATGAGCTCCTTTTTCAAAATGAGTAGTTATTTGTCACAAGGCATGGCCTAGCTCCTAAATTTGGAAGTCTACACTGCTTTCCAGAGACTCCACACGGTGCTGCTCTCTAACACAGATAACCTAATACTGTTGAATTGTCAGGTCATAGAACCATGGAGCTGCAGCCACCTCTTGAGCCTCTTGACAATGCCTTTCTTGCTTCAGTCCACATTTAGAAATTAAATAGGTAGTGGGTTCTCTGCTGTCATATAGTAAATTTATTCTATCCACTTCCCTGAGTCTTAAGGCCCTCAATAAACTACCAAGATACTTCCTTTCTCAGGTTAGGTTTTCCAGAAGCAGACTCTGAAATGAATACTCATATACAATGGATTTTTAAAGGAAGCACCCCAGTGGTATGATGGTAAATGGTTGACAATTGGATATCTGGAAAGAAAAATAAACCTTAATTTATAGCATTTTTCCATTTTCTGTGAATACTCCATGGTGAATTCTCCCACCATGACAAATTTAAATCTAGCAACATGTTGTCTCTGAACATGGAATTTGGGAAGAGTTGCTAAGGATCAATCAGTTCTTGGTACTAGCCGGCTCTAAAATCACTGAAATGCTATTGAGGAGACAAGTAAAGGCCTGAGTGCAAGAGAACAGAAATAGGAGGAAGTCATGTTTAAGGGAATGATCTCAGGAAAAGTTCCACAGAAGTTAGGGTCAAGATGTTCCTACAGGGAACCCCTGGAGTACTTTAGCGTGGTCCCACCCACCAAGGCAAGGATGCTGCCCTTTCTTGCTCCTGAACATGCAGGTATTAGGCAAGGGACATCCCTGCATGGAAGTAATTCCTAAGTACCTATTGCTCTTTGTATAGTTAAGCAAAGTGGCTCCAGAAGTCCTCTGTAGAAGAGGTGCGAGTGCTGGGTTTTCTGGGCCCTGAGAATATCCTACATGATAAGAGTGGTTTTGTATACCTGAGGCTTTGGAACATGCTATACTATACCAGTTTGACCACATAAATGTATCCTTACAAAATGTTTTATGATGAACTCTGGTTTTTGCTCTGGGCGGTGGCAATCTACTATGGTGGCTGAGGTCAGTCATGCAGGCATTGTGTGTCCACATGACTGTCTCTTCATTAAGACTCCATGTCTTGAGGGAGCTTTCCTGACTGGCAACACCTCACATGTGTTGTCACATGTTGTTGCAGGGGGAATTGAGTCTTCATACTAATCCACTGGGGGGAGTCACCTGGACATTTGTGTGATTTCTCCCACAAGCCCTTTGAAAACAAACCCTTTACTGACTTTAATCTCTATCTTTTCAGTATAATAAATCATAACCATGAATATAACAGCTTAAGCACTATGAATCCTCCTTGTGAATCATCAAATGAGGAGTGATTTCAGAGACCCCTGATACTCCCTTCTTTTACCAAACTTCTAAGAAAGGATTTTCTGTATCAATTTGATACCTAGGGAAAGTATCTGACCCAGAATCATCTTCTCCATAAGAACTGGCTTGTCCCATCTGTTCCTTGTCATTTCCTGTCACCTCCATTCAAACATTACCTCTCAGGGCACCAGGCCCATGTACTTTTGCATCCTCCTCACCCAGACATCAAAGTCCATTTGGGCCTACCACTCCTCCTAGCCATCTCATCTCACAGGGAGTCCAGAACTTTCCATGGTATTTTCTGGCACCAAGCCAAGGAAATGAAATTCTGTGAAGTTCTTGCCTTTAGAACCTTTAGCCCTTGTTGATTTCTCCAACATCTGGCACCATGCTGAAAGCAGGGCACCCATAGGATTCCACAAACTTTACTGAAGTTTCTATTTTCCCAGATCTTCCTATTGTTCTGAATTTTATTATTTACATCTAAATATTTGCAGTTCAGACAGAAAATATAGTGCTTTCCAAAGTTATCTAAGTAATTATTTTAATATTTGAATTAACCACTCATCTATTTTCAGATTAAACTTTTCAAAATTTTTAAATAATAGTTACATTAAATTAAGAACTTTCACAATCGTCATAAATATTGCAGCATATGGTCATGCAATTATAAATATATGTGGTAGCATTTCAACCTAGAAAGCATATGAAGTGATTTTTCCCTCCAAGTTCTACCTAGAATGTTTGCCTGTATTTGAAGATGAGTATTTAGATAGTAATATAATAGCATATATAAATCCATATATATAGTAATATATATAGTATATGATAGTAATATTAATATATATTATATATAATAGTAATATAAATCCAAACATCACACCTGTTCATACTATGGCTATTATACACAGATTAGTGGTGATGGTAGCCCACATGATCAAGTGGCTATTGATCATTTACAATTTCCAGGATGCCAGAAATGGCACTTAGTGACCTGAACTTTCAACAATGCTGAAGCCAAACTGTAGTCTGTAGATAGTTTCTGTCTCTGTTCCATAAAGTAGGAAGAAAAAACAGTAATAACAGAATAAAAAGGCATATAACAAGAATTTTCTCCTATTTTTAAAAAATTTTTCTTAGTTGTAGTTGGACACAATACCTTTATTTCATTTATTTTTATGTGATGCTGAGGATTGAACCCATTGCCTCACATGTACTTGACTGCTTAGCCACAACCCCAGCCCTTATCTCTTATTTTTTAAGAAATGCAGAACCTTAACTCCTCATCCTTAAGCCTCTTCACTGTGTAAGCAGTCCTATCCCTGCACTTGCTCTAAAAATGCTTGGTTTTAAAAATTATTGCCTCTATCATGAATTTTAAGATCTCCCCTCTTCTCCTGTGAACTAAAGGCTGAACCTTGATAGTGTCTCCTATCTTCGCTCATTCAGCTGACAGCCTGGCCTGGCCTGGCCCTTTGCTGAGGCTTCCCCAGCAGGCATTGTCCCCACTCCCTGACAGCTCTAGCTATCATGTGTGGAGCTACTTCCCTGGGGAGATCTGAAGTACTGCTCCTGCTGCCTCAGAGAGAAGAGTTAGGTGTGTCAAGGAAAAGTGCCTAACAGTCTGTGTGGACCCCTCAGATACCTATCTCCACCCCTTTCTAGCCTTGCAGAAAGTCCTCCTCCGAGGACTTGGAGGAGGGGAACAGGGTGCTCTGTGTGAAGAACCTCTTGCTACT